TAATAAATAAAAAATGAAATAAAAAAATGTATTAAATAAAGAAACTAATGTTAAAAAATTATTAAAATTGTGAAATTAAAAAAAAAAAAAGTAAATATTTTTTTTTAAAAAAGAAAATTAAAAAAAAAAAAACAATTTTTTTTTTTTTTTTTTATAATAACCTAAACAAAAACACTAAATATATTTTTGCAATGCATTTTTTGCTGTTTTTGCAATGCTTACATCGTGGGCTTTTTCAATTGTTTTCAAAGCAAAACCCATCGCCTCTTGAGAAACAACTCTCCAATCCGTCGGTGTTACAATTTTATGAGTCACGTCATGTATGCCTAATTTATCTTGTTGCACTGCCTCAAAAATAGGCTTTGAATGTAACTGCCCATCAATATACGATTCCAATTCCTCATTTAACAAATCTCGAGTATAAAAAGAACATTTTTTTTCACTGTCATAACAACTTCGTTTGTCTATCATATACTTTGAAAAAGCAAAATGCCTCTCCTGTTCTGCTAACTGAATTTCATGCACAAACTTCAACATCTTTTTGACTAGTCTCGCATTTCTTCTACTTCTTATTTAATTATACTCAATAACACACTTATCAATACACTTATCACATACATGTTGCGGTTCTTCGATTTTATCATCTACCAACAAATCAATTAGATTTTTACCTAAACACTTTTTCCGTTTGTCTTTACATTTAAAGGATTTGTACACATCATTTGCAAGCTGAGGCTTCATTTTTTATGTTTCGCCAACAAAAAAAAATATTAAAAAATATTAAATTTATTTTTTTTTACAAAAAAAAATTATTATAAAAATTTATTAACAAAAAAATATATAAATATTTAATTTGCAGAAATTATTAAAAATTATTTACCATAAAATTATTAATTTCAATTAAAAAAAAAAAATGTTTGCAAAAAAAAAACACTATTTATAAATATTTTTTTTTTTTTTTAAATATTTTTTCTTTTTTTAAAAAAATTTTCCTACATCCCAGTGGGCACGGAAGTAAAAAAGACGTCTTTTAAACGTTTAAAATACGTCCAAAACGTTCAAAAGACGTTCAGAAAACGTCTAAAACGTGTATAAGACGTTTAAAAGACATCCTTTTTTACTTCTGTGCCCACTGGGATCGATAATAAAAAAAAATTTGTTCTCAATGTTCACATGTCAGTGATGCCGTATTCATTGTCATAAGTTTTTTTTATCCAAAAGTTCATCAGCACAATCACAAGCTTTGTTAAAACTCGTCGCCTAAAAAATCCTTTGAATTTTTTTTCAAGTAAACTATAAATAAACACCACATTCCACATAATTCTATTAACGTCTTTGTTTATGCCTGAATAAGGCGTTGGTCTTCGACGATAGAGTTCGCCGGCTTTTCTTTCTTTGTCATTTAAACGATCAAAAATTTGAAAATCTTTTTCGAATAACTTTTGCGCTGTTTTGTCAGCGTATAACCCAAACGATGTTTTAACAAAATTAAAAAAATCTGACAAATTTGAAACACATTCGTTTTTTGTTCTGTTATCTCCTTCAAAAGTAAAATATTGATTAAGAATACTGTCTATGGTATCAATTTCGATATCGCTAGAATTAAACCATTGCTGTTTTAGTAAATGGAGAAAATAGAGGATCCACGGTCCGCAAAGTGTCGAATTGCTAAGTTGATAAGCTAAATCATTAAAAACAATGTTCACGTTTTGAATATTTTGCTTTTGCGAATAATAAAAACAAAACTTTGTAAACCATTCGTCTTGCGTGTCGCGAAGCGGAAAATGTTTTTTACGTCTAGTATAAAGATGGTCGTTGAAGTTAAGAGTCATTTGACTTAACGCTGTCGATAGTGAGTTTGTTTCGGCATATTCTAAGAGGTCAGGATTGTTTTGAACAGCGATTGGAATTTGTTGAAAAAAACTTTCCTTACCTAAACTGTCAAAGCAAATCAAGCTATTATCGTTTAATTTGAGCATCATACGCCAATGCGTTCCATTTTTTTTAGACGAGTCACTGTTGTAGATAAAAAAATCACCGACTTGAATATTCTGTTTAAATACACTGTTGACTTGGTCAAAGGGAAAAACGCCTTTAAAATTGTTAAAGTTCTTTTTGCAATATTTTTCCAAACTAAGATCAGTGCTCATCTTTTTTTTCTGCGAGATTGTTAATTAGTAGACTGTATATGGCATTGACAATTTCTTTATAAAACAAAACAGTGTTTTCTATTTTTATTTCACCAGACAAGAGTCGCTTTGTAAACCCGTTTGAAATCATCACTTCAAGAGCTTTTAAAATTTTTTTTTATAACAGGCATCGAGAGGGTAAAAATGTCAACGATACCATCAACATTGTCTTCATTTTGTAACTCTTCTAATGAAAATCCATTTGATAAGCACATTGAAATGTGTCAATGTGCTTCTATGCACTGTGAGGTTGAGAGTGAAATAGATGAGCTTAGGAAAGATCTAAATAAATTTTGGTCTGTTGAAACCATAGAATCTCCTGAGAGTTGTGTGATGTATCAGTTTGAAAGAGATCTCACACATAACAGGGAACGATATATAACAAAGTTACCATTCAAAACTGATCATGATTTTTTACCTGTTAACTATAATATTTGTAAAAAACGTCTGGCTAATTTAAAGGTAACATTAAATGATAAACAACTGGTTACAGAATATAATCAAATTTTTATAGACTATGAAAAGAATAATATAATAGAAAGAGTTAGTGAGTCTGATATATTTAAAGAACCAGGGTGTGTGCATTATTTGCCTCATAGGCCTGTCATTCGAAAAGATAAAGATACTACAAAAATTAGAGCTGTTTTTGATGCGTCCTGTTCGACAACAGGACCGTCTTTAAATGATTGCTTGTATTCAGGTCCGAATTTATTGTCAAAAATATTTGATATTTTACTAAAATTTAGGTTTAATGCTATGGGATAACTGCTGATATAAAGCAAGCATTCTTAAACATTGAAATCTCTCCTAAACACAGAGATTACTTAAGGTTTTTGTGGTACGAGAGAATATCTGATAAAGAGGCTAAACTAATTGTATATAGATTTCTTAGAGTTGTTTTTGGTTTAACTAGCAGTCCTTTTCTTTTAAATGCTACTTTAAAACACCATCTTAATAAATACATTAAACATGATGAAAAATTTATTGAAAGATTAATAGATGATCTTTATGTTGACGACATAGCCTCTGGCTGTGAAACAATTTCAGAAGGAAAAATGTTTTATAAAAAATCTAAATGTATATTTTTAGATGCAGGATTCAAAATAAGAAAATGGATTACAAATGATCACGAATTACAAAATTATTTTAATAAAAAAGAAACTAATCAAAGTGAAAACTCAAAATGTAATCTAAAAGTTGATGAATTAAAATATTTTGAAAGTGAAATTATTAAAAATGAAAACAATAATAATTTTATAAAAAATTTAGGAATTGAGTGGGATATATTAAAAGATGGATTTGTTTTTGAGTATAAAGAATTTGTTAAAAATGCAAGAATGCTAAAAATTACTAAAAGAAATATTCTTAAGATAGCAGCATCTTTCTTTGATCCTCTAGGTTTTTTAACACCAATAACTTCAAGAGTAAAAACAATTTTTCAATTAATTTGTAGAGATAAAAGTGGATGGGATGAAATAGTAACAGAAGCAATAGAATTAGCTTTGACAGAATTTTTAAAGGATCTTGAATTATTAAGTTTTGTTAGAATCCCAAGCTTTGCGTTTGAGAGAGTGAATGAGAATAGTAAGCGTGTTCAATTGCATGGATTTTGTGACAGTTCTAAATTAATTTATTGTGCCGTTATATATCTAGTTGTAGAAACTAGTTTAGGAGTGAATAGGAAGTTTTTAGTTTCAAAGTCACGTGTTTCACCCTTAAAAGAATTAAGTATACCTAGATTAGAGTTATTAGGTTGTGTGTTACTGAGCTGACTTTTAGAGGAAGTGTTAAGAGTTTTGAAGGGAAGAGTGCACTTTAAGGATGTAAGTTGCTGGTGTGATTCAGAAGTGGCATTGTATTGGATTAAAGGTAGGGAAAGAACGTGGAAACCATGGGTGGAGAATAGAGTGAATGCCATTAGAAAAGTGGTTGATAGAGAAAAATGGAATCATATTAGTGGGGAGTTGAACCCAGCTGATTTTCCTACTCGAATAAGTAATTTTGTCAATTTTGGACATTGGTTGAAAGGACCAGAATTTTTGTTAAATATGAACAAAGAGATAAATGAATTTAAAGTTGATAAAAAGTTTCAGGTTGATATTATGTCTGAGTGTAAGAGAGGAGAAAATGTAGTTATTTGTAATGTTGTTTTGGACTCATCAACAAGTTTGAGTAGTACCATTGATGCATGTAGATTTAGTTCATTTGAAAAGTTAATTATTAGTACTGGATATGTATTTCGATTTATCAACAATTTGTTAAAAACAATTAAAAAGCTACCATTATACAAACAAGTTACTTTGATGACAGATGAGTACAAATTTGCACTCAATGAATGTATTAGAGATGAGCAAAGAATTTTACAAAATGACAAAAGTTTTGATAAACTGAATAACTCTTTAAAGTTATTTGATGGTGAAGACAAACTAATACGATTACGAGGAAGATTTGAAAATGCTAATTTAAACTTTGCAGAAAAACATCCTTTAATATTACGTGGAAAAGAAAGTTGGTTTACAATATTACTGATTCGTAATTGTCATGAACAAGTTTTGCATCATGGAATCGAATCGACGTTGAATAAAGTACGATCTCAATTCTGGATAATAAAAGGACGATCGACGATAAAAAGTATTATTAGACAATGTGTAACATGCAAGAAGTTCCAAGGAAGAACATTGTTACCACCTAGCAGCCCAGATTCACCTGATTTTCGAGTTAATAATTTATATTCCTTTCAAGCAACTGGTTTAGATTATGCAGGACCTTTATTTGTAAAAACAGTTAATAAGGATGCTGCCTGTAAGGTCTATGTTTTACTATTGACTTGCGCGTCTAATCTTGAACTGACACCTGACATGAAAATTCCGGCCTTCATAAGAGCTTTTAAGCGTTTTGCAGCACGAAGAGGTTTTCCTGACCTTATTATCTCCGATAGTTTTAAGACCTCTATATCTAAGGAAGTTAAAATTTTTATGATAAAAAATGATGTGCAACAGAAGTTTATTCTACCAGCTTCCCCCTGGTGGGGCGGTTTCTACGAACGTTTAGTTAGATCTGTTAAAATTACAATGAAGAAAACAATTGGTAAGTCTCTTTTATCTTACGAAGAACTCGAAACAATTTTATGTGAAATCAAATCTGTGATAAACAGTCGTCCATTATTTTAAATGAGCGAGGATGACACTGAAGAAGCATTAACACCATACCATTTAATGTATGGACGAAATATTGTTAATAAAATGAATGGAATTAGTCTACTACCTAATGATATTTCGAAAAGAGCTATATTTATAAAAACAACGATATTTAACTTTTGGAGAAGGTTTGCAACTTCTTATCTTAATGAACTTAAACAACACCATTTATACGTAAAAAGTAAAACTTCATAAAACGAACAGCTAGTATTAAACGATGTAGTTCTTATACAAGATGATATCAAGATCCCTAGAATTCAATGGCGTATGGGAAAAGTTTTAGAACTTATGGAAAAGGAGCTGAAGGAAAAGTACGAGGTGCGCGTTTACAAGTTTTATCCAAAGAAGGAATTAGAACCACATGTTTCCGACCTATTCAAAAATTAATATCTTTTGAAATTACCAACAAATCATCTGAAAATGAACTAGGTGTGATTGCTACTGATGAAACGTGCAGGTCAATTTGTAAGCGGCCGATCAGACAGGCAGCAAGCGCAGGCGAAAAATTGCGGCGTTTAAAAGAGTTATATTATTAGTTGACCAAGTCAACATAGGGGTGTATGTTAAAAGTGTTTTATTATTATACGGCTTTTTGTTATTTATTACCGGTTTTATCTGGTTTTTCTTGATTATTCAATTTTTGGATTGTAAAAGTTTTTTGTTACGGATATATTAGTTAACACGATATTACAAGAAAGAGAATAACTTAGCTAAAACCCTTCTCAATTAATGTGTCTAAAATAATTAAATTAAAGTTTTTTACACCCACATCAACAGATGTCGATCGCGTATTTTCGAGCTACATTAGTTTCTGCACAAAAATCAGATCAAGATTATCACAGATCACGATTATCACAGATCACGTAATTATCTGATGAATCGTTAAAATCTTTTGTTTTCTTAAAAAAATTTTTACATTAAAAATAAGTCATTGTAAGTTTTATTTCAAAATATAAACATAATGTTAGAAGACTGAATAATCCAAGATAATCTTACATAAGTTTTATTATTTAACAAGAAAAACCAAACCCCACGGTTAACCGCGTTTTTTTTTTAATTAAAACCGAAACCGCGGTTTTTTATAAATGTTACTCCCTGACCCTTTCGTACTTGAAAATTGGAAAAACGACGTTTCAATGATGCCCGACATTACATGGGGTGACATGTACAATTACCTTATTAACTCCTCCCCAAGTAACTTTACACACGATTCAATGAAAGCCTATAAATCATTGGAATCGTACAACTTTTACATTTGTGGGCATGTTCAAGATGTATACTATAATTTAATTGAAGAAACGAATGAATTTTGTTTCATTAAATCTGAGGTAATTTTGCATATTCCAAAGTAAAGTTCACCGTCAAAGTGCAAAAAAAAAGTGTTTGAAAAGTTAAAACCATAAAATTTATTTTGAGTAAAATGTAAAATGATATAAGTTTTTACTTATTTATTCAACTTTTAATTTATTAAAGGTGCTTCCAAGTCAAAGACAAGGAAAGAAGCAGAAATGTTACGAAGTGTGGGTTGCAATAAATAAAGTTAATGGGTGGATTTTAACGGCAAATTGCAAATGCATGGCAGGGTAAGTACATTAATTAAATAATTTTATTCTAATTTTATTTTAAACAAGTATTTTAAGAAATTTAATTGGTTATACATTTTTGAAACTATAGATTGGGCTCTGTGTGTAGTCACATCGGTGCTTTGTTGTTTAAGCTTGTTGCGTGTGCACAGCTCGGTTTAAATAAAATATCTTGCACAAGCACATTGTGCAGTTGGAAAAAATCACGCAAATCAGCAACCCCAGCCCCACTAAAAAAAATAAACTTTTCGCGACCAAAGAAGCGTGAAACTCTTCCAAATATTAGTGACAATGAAAACTCACAGGATGAAAGAACTTACAGCTTTAAGGATCCTACACCAACATCAGATAGTAAAAAAAAAAAGTTGCTAGAACTAAAAAATTGTATAAGAATGCTGCTGTTCTTCAGTCTGTAGACATTAAAAATGAAAGCAAAGAACATTGTAGTGATACAGATACTGCGGAGGAGGATGACAGTTACAATGAATATAATTTGCCGGAACCACTTACTTCACTATATTTGCCTGCATCAATTAATTTAGATGATTCCACCTTAACAAAATATTGCGCAGAATCATACGAGGAGTACAAAATCACTCAAAGTGTTAACATGTACAGCAATTTACTTAAAGTTACAAATATTCAGAGCGCTAGTAGAATCTGGAAGTTGCACAGGGCAGGTAGAATAACAGCATCGTTATCAAAAACTGCGTACAACATAAAAGTTGATAAATACCCTAAGTCGTTTATAAACACAGTGATGCAATACAACGCAGAATTCATTACAAAACCTACGAGTTATGGTAAGAAAATGGAGACTGTAGCAATAAATTCTTACAAGCAATTTGTCGCAAAAACACATACAAATATAGTTGTTACAGAAACTGGATTGCATGTTCTTCACAAAAATCCATGTCTTGGTGCTTCACCTGATAGTATGGTGTGTTGTGATTGTCATGGTTCCGGTGTAGTGGAAATAAAGTGCCCATATAAGTATAGAAATGGGTTAGAAAATTGGAAAACAGATACGGATTTTTCTGTAAATTTTGACAATACAGTAAAGAAAACACACCAGTATTACTTTCAAGTGCAGCAAGAAATGTATATTACTAATACTACATACTGCCATTTTTACATTTGGACCGAAGGAAAAAATGAAAATGATACAATGTTAATTAATGTTCCGATTGATAGGGTCTTTTGTGAAAAACTGGAAACAAAGTTGACAACAATATTTTTTAAATTTTTACTACCTGAAATAGTGACTAGAAAAAATGATCCTAACAACCTTTTGAGCGATCAAACATACTGCATTTGCAAACGTCCAAGTTTTACACCAATGATTGGATGCGACGGAAAAAACTGTAAAATAGGATGGTTTCATTACAGTTGTATTGAAATAAAAAATGCCCCTAAAGGTAAATGGTTCTGCAAGGATTGCATATCAATAAACTAAAGGATATATTATATTTATTAAATATCTTACTTTGTCAACGACATTTTGGCACTTTTTTCAGAAATAAAAAATCAATAAACGGTTAACAATTCTTATTATTTAGTAATATAAAATTTACTACTCTCGAGTCTTTATTAGAAGGGTAGGAGGGATTTCTATTAAATTTTTGAAAACTTTCCCACCTACCTTAAGCTTATTAAGACCACTCTGTTTATTAATTTTCACTTGTTATAAACAAAAAGTTTCTAAAACTATCGAAACTAAAAAAAATAATTCAGTGAAAATCGGCCTTATAATTTACAAAATATATACTAGTAACTAATAAATAATAAAACTTTTAGTATAAATTCTCACCCCCTACTTTCATTAGATCTTGACAAACCACCCCCTTCCCCTTGTATTAAGGACTCGAGAGTACTTGAGACAATCCAAATGTAAGATAATACAAAATAAAGTTAAAATAAAAAGGTTTTTCACTCCTATGAGCTTGGAGGAACAACACTACTGTTAATATTTACTAATGAAGTTATTGTAACCATAACATCATCAAGTAAATCAACTTGAGTTAATGGGATAATGTTCTGAAGAATTCGAAATTTTCTTAACCGTCCAATTACCCTTTCAACATGGATTCTTACATGTGCAATTTGACGTGATTCATCAACTTCAGCAGAAGACATCTGCTTTTTTCCTTTGGTAAACTTTGGTAATTTTAAAATCCCACCTTTTGTAGCAAATTCTTCAACAAGTGTAAATCCTCTATCAGCAAGTACACAATCTCCATGGGTTATTTTTTCTAAAAATCCAGATTTAATTGTAATTTCTTTATCTGAAACTCTACCACCCCATCCAGGGGATAAAAAACTTACAGCACCTGATGGAGTTATACCAATGAGATATTTAATTGTGTTGTTGTTTTTATAATTTGACCAAGTTTGAGCTCGAGCATGAAGACTAAAAGGTATTTCAATGAGTATTTCCATGCAATCAATTATTGCAACACAATTATAGAACTTTTTGCGAAAACTTGTTGGCAAATTTCTTCGCAAAACATGCTTTTCTGGCCAAACAATTAAAAACTTAACATTTTCAGCAATAATTGGAAGCCAAGATCTATATATTCTAGTGACTGTTGGCTCAGAAAAACCAAATCTAAAGCTCAAGTCTTTATTTAAAAATCCAAGTTTGATTTTCATTAATATTAGCAATAAATGGTCTTCCATTGGTATATTTTTCATTGGTTTTACACAATCTTTAAACAATGATAAATACCACAAAAATAAATTTGCATTTGGCAAACCAGTATAAAAAGATAAAAGTGAATTATCATCTTTTAGTTTTTCAAACGAAATATATTGAGAAACAGATGATGTTATAGCTTTGTTTATTGTAATCTTTAATTCAACATTATTTTTACTCAAAGTTTTGACTTTAGAATGTAGCTCAGCAACAAAATTAACATCATCAGTCTGAGATTCTAAAAACATAATTATGTAACCATTTATTTTATCAAAGAACGAAAGTAAAATCTTAAAATTAAATTAAAACTTATTTACCTTGATTTAATTTGAAAGGGTCGACTGATGTTACTGCATCCATATTAACTGACATCTGTTCATTTTCAGCTTTTGTTTGAGATAAATTATCTTCAGTATTTTTTTTTGTTCTTTTACAACTTCTTTCAAATCTTTCAATACTTTGATGTTTTTTTGAAAAAGATTGCTGTCTATATAAAAAAACAGATGGAACATAGTCAGGACTATTAGGATTGTCTGATTTTTTGCCTAAAAATAGAGAAGAAAAAAAATTAAAACCTTATTTATTTTATTAAAATAATGAACTTATGTTAAATTAAATAAAAACAAAGATAATAATAATATTATAAAAACTTCTAGTTATCAAAAGAAAGAAAAAAATTAAATACCTGAAATAAAATGTTTACTACATAATCTTGCGTTATCAATCATACTTATTGGCCAGTTTTTACGTTTTAAGGCTTGCAACCATAAAACTCTTCTGTTTTTTGATGTTTCTGTATTTCCAAAAGGAATGCGGTAAAAACTCAAGTTTTTATCGCCTTTTATCCTTTTATTCATACACCCTATAGCACAACAACTGTCAGGCATTATATTTTAAGAATTTTAAAAAAACTTTAATCTAATTAAGTTAGCAAGCAGATTAATTATATCAATGTTTGTTTAATAAACGTTCTCAATGTTTGCACATCGGTTTTTAAATTCCTGCCACCTAGTGCGCATGCGACGGAAATGTAAACATTGAAATTCATCTATATCTAATGACACCTGTCCAATAACATCTGTAAAAGTAAAATAATATCTGTCCGACAACATCTGAAATTTCATTGATGTCAAATAACATCTGAGTAAAAATTGAATGACTTCTACAGATGTAATTACATCTTTTCAATTATCTAAGTATAACAGCATTTGTGCAACAACATCTAACAGCATCTGTGCAGCAACATCTAACAGCATCTGTATGTATTATTTCAACCAGAAGTAGTTACATATATAGTTTTTTTTGAGATTTAGTTAAAACAATAAAAGAAAATGCATTATTTTAACCAGATAATAGGAGAAAAATTACAATCTTAAGTTGTTGTTTGAGTAAAAACAAAATACAGATGATCTTGGACTAAAGTGTGCAAATGATCTTGGACTACTCTACAGATGTTGTTGGACAGATGTAGTAATCTTTTACCTTAAGAACCACTTCTACAAACTTTTTTTTAACAAACTTTTGAGCCGGCGCAAACCCATCGCTGCACAGTGGGCCAGGTATATGGGAAGTGGTGGACAAAACCTAATTATTACCCAATTGGTCAACAAACCCATTTAGATATATAAATAATCATTATATGTGAAATAATATTTATTTTTAACAAGAATATTTTAATTTTTAATAAAAAAAAAAACATTTAATAGGCTTAGGTAGTAAAAAAATATTTTTTTCAATATCAACCTTTTTTAAAAATCAAACAACAAATTGTGTTTAGCTACAAAGAAAAAAAAAGAAGGTGGAGCTGATTCCCTCAGCAAAGCCAAAACTTCACTGGGGTATTTTTTTAAACTCTTACCATTTTTTTTATGACACTTTCTTAATGATTTTATGACAGAATCACTAGATACAAGTAGCCTGTTAACTAGGTCACGATTTGTATCGATTCTGGAAGTCTTTCTACTGAAATCTTCCCTAAACTTTTTAAAATCCTTGTTACAGGCCTCTTGGGCCTCCTCTGACATCAGTCCAATTGGCAAGTACTGTCTAGCAATGATGGCATGGCCATGAACTAAAATTTTGTGTACTGATTGTGCCATGTAATACCAGGAATACTTAGTTATGTAAAGTTTAAGAGCAGTAATACAGAACTCTTTAAATTTGACAGTGTCAATTTCAAATCCAGATGATAAAGTGACTAGTATGATGTAAAAATAAAATAAAAGAGTTTCATCTACTTTCAAAATTTTGGCAGTTGATTGATAGTTTGCAAAGGCTCGTTGGGCAGTGTTACCATCATTACTGGTACCTACAAATTGTATATATGTGATAGTTAACCTGATGATTTATATAAAAGTATTTATGTAATTTCACTTACCAGATCCTCCACTTTTTGGGAAATCCACAACTAGTCCCATTTGGTTCATAATTTCTATCTTTATACGTTTCTTCACTTGCATAACATTTTCCTTTTCTTCTATAGCTCTAGACTGCCACTTTTGAGTTTCTAGTTTATATCCAATATGCAATACCATCTCAAAAAACCTAATCCAGGCATGCAGGCTAGAAAGACCATATTTCAATTCTAAATTATTAGAATTGTCCAATTTCAGCACCATTTCTAAGTTATTCATGTTTTTTGGAGACACACCACACACAGAGCAACATTGAGTTGAGTTAGTCACATGAGACAGAATAGTTTGAATTTTGCCATCAATCATGGTCAGTTCAATAATACTTTTGACAACCAGTTCCTTTCCATTAAAAGTAAAATTAAAAACACCACATTTTTTGATTTCAGATTCTAAATATTTTGCTTCTTCTATAACAACTGCTTTGCTTTCATTTTGAAAAGAAAATCTTATTAGACGACAATATGCAGTAGATGATGGCTTTTCATTTTGCCATAATAGTACTTTTTTGTTATTACAGAACCCACCGAGTTCTAGTGGTGCTAAGCAGGTAATGAACAGAGATTCTTCTTTTTTTAAGCTACGATCTCCAGCTTCCTCACTACTAATTTGCTTGTACATGCTTTGCCCAGTAGCCCCATCAAACCCAGCCTTGCAACGCAAAGTCAACCGGGTCAAACCATCTAGCATTGTGCTGATTACGGGAGCTTGCACCTCACAAAGTCTTTTTACTGTATGTTTTAATAATTCTTGTAGTGGTACATGTGCTGATAATCATCAACAAAGATGTTCTCTGGATAGCACTTAGCTTTGGACAATCTTATGTTGTTGTATGAAGGATATATATGGCAGTCACGTTCTTCAGCTCCGTTTCTCATAAGTTGGTAGGTTGATTTTGACATGCCACCATCTATAATTAATGCCAGACCTTCATCAGGTGTATACTTTTTAAATTGACTAGAAGGTTCTGATATCTCAGCAACTTGCTTGGCAGCCTCATAATTATACTCATTTCTTAATTTAAGCCTTGCTTTAATTAAGAAATGAGTATAGTTAAGTCTTCTCCTTTTGGTTTTGTCAGAAGCATCTTTAAAGGAACAACTTGGTCTTCCACCAATCTTATGTAATTGACTAGAATTATCAGGCTTAGATATATTATTACTGTATGTAGATTTAAAGTCCTGAGTCAACCAATTTTTATTTTTACTCTCAAACTTTATGTTTCCTCGGTTTGCATCCTTCCATTTCTTTTGATAAACTTTTAAAAATGCAGCACACCCAGTAGAACCCAAATTCATAGAGACTAAAATAGCTTCTACAGACAAAGAAAATGATTTATCACTCGGATTTAGTTGGTCATGCCGTATACGGTTATGGACATCACTTATCTTCATATCAACTACAAAAAAATTAATTTAAAATTATTAGTGCAACCACTATAAACTAAAATAACATGAATATGGCCATTATTTTTATTTCAGATATATTTAATTAGGCCAGTACAATAAGCACAACACCTAATAATGACAACAAACCAAAAAATAGGTTTGTCGCGAATAGCATTTTACAACATTATATATTTTTTAAATGTTTACCAAACCTAAAGGGGCAGCTATGAGCTGAATAAAACAGCACCAACAGGCTGTACATATATTGTATTAACTTATTCTAACATTAATATGCTGTTCCATCAGGTTCTAAACTATATGAGCCACTTTTAACATAATATTTTTATACTATAAACAAGAATCTTACCTTTATATTTCAAAATAAAACTGTGACTTTAATACAAGACCTTGGAATTTGTTATGGTATTTTTTGAAAAGCTATCAAATTAAATTTTAATAATATGTCAATTAATTTCGCATATGTTAAATAATTTAAAAGTTATTTGTTGTTATAGTTATGTTGTTATGGTATATTAAAAAAAAAAAAAAATTAATTAATTAATCTTTATATTCAATTGTAAATAATAATTGTACATTTATGATGTACAATCAAACTACAAATAATGTTTTAAACCATACATTATGCTTTTATAAATATAATGTACTAAGTAGTTGGAAGTATTTCGAAATTTTTTTTTTGAGGTTTTGTCTACCACCTGGCCCACTGTGCGCTGGTTATAATTAATAAGCCAATTAGCCCTGTAAAATATTTTTCCAATTAAAATATTTTTTCATTAACTTTAAATGCTTTGTCTTAAATAAACCTGCAAAACCTGACAAAAAAACAACTATTAAAATAAAATTGGTATAAAAGAGTAAATCATTTTTCATTGAATTCTTTATAATTTATTTTTTATACTAATATTTTCTTTGTAATAAGAAAATATTACTTTTTACTAAAAGAAAGCGCTGTTTCAAAACTTAAGTTTTTGTTCAAATAATACTTAAATCTTACCTCATATGTATCACAACTAATTCCTATTTCTTAAATAGGAATTAGGTGTGGTTAATTTCGCAAATAATTACAATACTAAATTAAAATGAAATAGTTAATTAGAATGGTTCCGTGTGATTTCTGGCGTTTTCTGATGGAAAGCTCTGAAGTTAAACTCTATTCTTCAGCTTACCACTGCTGCCAACTAGCCCCGGTTGGAGTTTTATGTTGGTAAATGGATGAATATATCGCTTTTGTAAAAACTTATTTAACATATATGCAGATGGCAATGCAAATAGTTATACAAGTTTACATTATGTAGTACTATAAAAAAATATATAAATATATATATAAGAAACGTTTTAAACATAATACTAATACTAACTTGTATGCATACTGTTTGAGTAGTTTTTTGCACATAGTGTATGATGGTTTTTTTTGTTTGTTTTAATTTTTTACGAAGTTCTTTAAGTATAAGCAATAATACCATGTGAAAAATAATTAACAAACGTTTTTTTTTATTAGTTTCTTCAAAAATATCAAAAATAGTATCCTATAATTGCACATATGTTTCCAAATCATAACACTAAAATCTATAAAGCTCAAAAAGTGCCATAGGTTTTAGCCAACAGATTCGATGGAATACCATAATTTATATTGATTTACGCACAATAATATTTTTTGATGACAGATTTATTTTTTGATTTAAGTGGTGAAACATGTGGTGGTACTTTAACAACAAAGCAACGAATTGATGTTACCTTACTAAGTTTACCTTACTAAGTTTACCTTACTAAGTTGACCTTACTTACTGTCTAGCGAACCTTTGCAATAAATTATAGCGAACCTTTGCTATAAATTGGACTTGCAAACGTAACAATGTTTCATTGCAATACAGTATACCCAGCAGGCACGGAAACGTCCATATGACGTCGAAAGAACGTCTTTTTAGGGCGTCCAGAACTGGTTCTAAATGGCAACGCCAGATGACGTCTTTTTAAGACGTAATTAGGACGTCTTTTTAGGACGGAATAAAGATGTGTTTTGAGACGTCTAAAAGACGTGAATTTAGGACGTTCAGAACTAGTGCTAAATGAAAACGCCAAATGACGTCTTTAAATAACCTAATTTAGACGTTCTTATTTTGACGTCTAAAATACATGTTCTAACATTCTTAAACGTAAGGTTCAAATTTATGTTTTTACAGAACTTCTTGAGAATAAGAAAAAAATAATAAATCATTTATATTTCTTAATAATATAATTGTGCTGAGTTTTACAAATTACAACTTTGTAAACTTCTTATTCCACTTGTTAATTTCCAAGAATTGAATTTTCGAACAGTTGACGTCATTCACTTTCTTTTCAATCAGATGCACTCTTTAAAATATTGCCACCAGCATTTTAAAGTTTTTTTTTTGCTGTAGGAATCAGGAAAGCAGTCTTAACCTTAAAAAAATATTGTTAAGATAAGTATGTAAAAATAAAGGGGAAAGAAATAAATAACACACACACACATATATATAATTATTATTTTATAAACATAACATCAAACATCAAAAAATACGAATTTCTCAACACTAAATTTATTTTTTTAAAGAAATTTTTGACTGGATTGTTGTGACCAGCGTATATATTTATGTATATCAAGTATGCAATATAATTGCGGTATTAAAAATGCTCTTTTTATAGTAAAATTATACTTACTTTGAAAGCATGCCCTTCTCAAATGCATTGCATGATGAGCCACCAACATTTAATAACTTCTATTTCTAAATTCAAAAGATAACACTAGTGTAATTGATATGGGACAATTTAGTGTAAGTTATATTGGGCAAAGGAGCAATTCATTAGTGTTTTATTCAATTCAAAAATTTTTGTGTAAATTTGTTTTTGTATTGTATAAAAATTTGTATTGTTTAAAATTTAAAAACAAAAGTTTAAAATTTAAAAACAAAATTTAAAAACAAAAAATTTAAAATTTAAAAACAAATTTAAAAACAAATTTAAAATTTAAAAACAAAAAATTTAAAAACAAAGTTTAAAAACAAAAATTTGTATTGTATAAAAATTTTGTGTAAATTTGTGTAAAAATGTTTACTTGTAAAGTGAGCATTATGTATATAATTACAGATCAAAATTTTTTATGTAATTTACCCTTGTAAAAAAAAACTAAACATTTAACCATAATAAAAAATATACTACTTTTCGCAACATTAGTATCGAGAAATGATTGATCACATTCAAGAAACTTGTTGATAGAATCAAACTATTAAAGATCAAAACTATTCTCAACTTTAAACATTTTTTATATTTCATTATTCTTAAGATAAGTAAGTAAATGAGTTAAAGACTATATATTAGTTAATTAAAAAACAATATGCTATTATAACTTATATATATATAAATTATAATAGAAAAAATATATATTACATCTTCACTTCCAACAAGGCTGCGAACAACCACTATAAGAGTTTGGAAGTTATTGGAAGAGAAAAGATTAAGTTCGTAGAGCAAGATAACGATTGACAAATGACTTAAAAGATTGCAAATTATATGAATCAGGAAAGCAAGATGAAGGAAGCAAATTCCAAAGAACTGATGTTCGAAGAAAAAAACTAGCTTTAGAGCAGTGCCCATTATAGTATTTGTAGAAAAGAGAAAAAGAAGCAACACCACGACAATGTGACAATGGTTGGAGATTGGCTGCACAAGCAGGTCCAACTATGTTTACAATGCGTTTTTGCATCTTGTCTAAAAGAGAAAAGGGCATCAATAGAAGATCTGCCCCAGATATGGCAACAGTATACCATACAGGGACGGATTTGAGATTTATAGAGATAGAGAATAGAATCTAGAGTAAGGAAGTGTCGAGCTCGATAAAGAGATGCAACCTTAGCATATGCTAATATTGCAATGGATTTGATATACGGTTTAAAAGAAAGATCTGAAGTAAAAGTTAATCGTAGAAGGTGAAGGGTATATGACTCATCTAGTACATTACCATTCATAAATATAGGAAGATCAAAATTATTGCGATAACGATTGGCAGAAAAAAATTGAGTTTTATCTGAAATTAAGTTCACCAACCATTGTGAGCCACATGCTGTAGCAGAGGTGAGATCCTTTTCAAGCTCAGACCCCCTGCAAGCAATCAGTGAGTGTACGCTTCTTATCATGACAAGAATAAATAGTAGTGTCATCAGCGAACAATGCCACCTTAGATGTGATAATATCTGGAAGATCGTTAATGTAAATTAAAAAGAGTATAGGGCCAAGGATTGAACCTTGAAGAACCCCTGAAGTTACAGGATATGAAGAAGATATATATATATATATATATATATATATATATATATATATATATATATATATATATATATATATATATATATATATATATATATAACCTTTGGAATTAGAGTCGGCATGCAGCAATGCTAACCTAAAAGTGTTTGAGGTCGACAAATAATGCTGGTCCAATTATTTCGAATAGAACAATCTAAAAGTTGTTCATTAAAGATATTGAATTATATTGAATTATCACCATAAACTCTCTGTATTATTAATAGGTTTTCCTTTTGAAAAATATGACTATGCATGAGATTCTGCGATGTCTAAGTCTTTCAAACAGTCAGAACTTGGTTCTTGATATAGTATATCAATTATTATACTTGAAATACTATATCAAGTGTCAAATATATACCTTATATATATATATATATATATATATATATATATATATATATATATATATATATATATATATATATATATATATATATATATATATATATATATATAGGTACGCGGAAATCGCGATTTACGGAACCGATTTTTGTGCTAAAATTTTGGTTCTCGTATTTTTCACTCTTTTTTATGCAGCGTGAGGCAGACGTAGTTTTAAGTAGTTTCTTTTTAGAAACATATATAGACATAGATACTTTTTGGAAAGAAGAAAAGTTAATCTTGATTTTTGAAATACTTTTCTGTATGGTTACTAAACTTTATTATGGAATATTTTGCTCCTGAATATTAGGTTGATGTTCTCCCATGAATTTGTGAGTCTGCTTTTTTTATTTTTAAAATAGCTTGTTTCATGCATTTTCTATGCACATGCCAAATTTCAGCAAAAAATAATTATGAGCAATTAGTCTAATTAGTGTTATACCAAGTATACCACTTTTTTTAGGTAGCCCTAGGCAAACGGTTTTTTGAGGTGGTTTTTTTTAGAAACATATATAAACCTTGACAACTTTTGAAAGAAGAAAGATTAGGCTTGATTTTTATAAACTATTGTGTATCGCTATCATACCTTTTTATGTAGTATTTTGCTGAGAATTTTGCATGGAAATTTGGCTGATGTTGTAACATGGATTTGTAGTCGAAGAAATATAGAGTCTGCTTTTTTTATTATTAAAATAGTTTTCTTCATGCATTTTCTATGAACATGCCAAATTTCAACGAAAAATAATTATAAGCAATTAGTCTAATTAGTGTTGAACTTTAGGTACCTAATTTCGGTTTTTCTGTTGTTTTTTTTGGTAAGCAAAATCCGGTAGGCGCCGAAATCCGGATAAGGGGGCGTTTCAACTAATAATCTTATTTTGAATTATTGCGATATATATTATTAGATTTAAAAAAATATGGCAAATTATAGCAAAAATATGTTAGATGCCCTAACAGAAAGTAAGTTTAATTTTTTTTATTCTTAATAATAGTATTAATAACTATTTTTAACTCCAAAAAAAAAAATGATTAATGTAAAACCTTCATTGTTTTTTATTTTTAACATATTAAAAAGCTAGTACTTTTTGATCTGTGAATAGATTTCAAAGATTACCAGTTTCAAAGCCATTATTTGCAATATTTATTTTTTATTACAAATTTTGAATTTTAGCTACATTTACGTGTTCAACGAATGGTTACACACCTTTCTTATCAATTGCAAATTTTTATAGAAACTTTTTTTATCTTAAGTTCCAGGTGTTCAACCTTCTGCTGGTAAATTTATGATTTAAAAATGTTTCTTAATGATTATTGAATTTATGTTTATATTTATATACACTATTTATTGCATTAGTGTTGTGTTATCCCTCAAAGTGCAGCAGAATGAAATTATTACTCTCATTAATGCTGTTTAAGTTATCATTGATTAATACGTTGTTCATATTATTTATTCAGTCTATCATTTTTGCAATTAATTGTTTTATATTAAATTTTACATAATGCCATTCAGTACTAATCTATTAACGAATCATTGTCATTTAGAGCTAACTTATCAATATTACCTATTATATAGGTCCCAGCATCCTGGACCCACCAGCAATAGTTCATTTAAGCGATGGGTCCGGTTAGGAGGAAGGGAAAATAATTCTTTTAAATGGCCCTATCATCCTCCTAACAATGGTGCTGGGAGCCGCAGCAGAAGGGGAGGTGGTCGAGGTCGTGGAAGTGGAGGAAGCAGAGGGAGAAGATGGAATGGTGGCAGCCTAGTGGTTCAGGGAGATTATTACAATTATTAGGCACCACCATTCCTTTTTTTTTTTAAATATATATTTAATTTCTGCAAGTTTATTTTCCGTTTTTTCCAAATTTATACAATTATCAACATTTGCTTTATATTTTTTCAAATTTTTACCCAAAAAAATTTAAAAGCAAAACATTGTAATAGTACCAATGAAATACTTTTTACACTTTTAAAATTTTGTATTATATAAATTTGTAAAGTTTACACTATAGATAGATGTGGACCTTTCAATAGAATAAGGTTTTTTTTTTAAGACTCTGTAGCCCACGTTAAATGTAATTTTAAATTTATGTGTAATATTTCAAATGTTGATAAATGTGAAGTGTATTTTGCAAACTTATTTACTATTCTTGTTTTAGTTTATTAAAAATGTTTGTTTGACTTTATTAATAGTTATTTGATTTTATATTATTGTACCCTATGTTTACAGTTCCTAAAAATTATATTTGCATTATTGAGGTTGAAATATCAGTTTCTTGTAATCGTAACTTGTTTAAAGAAGGTATGTATGAGTTTTTTAAATTATTTGATATTTTTTAGGTTTATATAATTTAGTACATTTTTTTATACATTATTTATAATATTTTTAATCTTGGAATTTTAAACAATATCGTTTACTAAATTAGTAAACGATATTGTTTAAAAAAATTTACAAGACTTAAATTTATTATATTTTGTTATATAAGTTAATAATATTATTATATTATTATATAAGTTTTAAAATTAGTTTTATCTTTGGCCTATTTTTAGGGTGGATACTCCAACTTGCATTTTGTAATGTGGTAAGATTAGAAAAGTTAAGTCTCTTTAAATAAACATAATTTAAAAACATTTAAAAAATTTTTGACATTATTTGCAAGTTTGAATGAGAAGGGGAGGGGGCGTTGGGTGTAACACACCCCTACCTGTACTAACATATTAAAATAATCTTGAATACTTGTTTCTCTTTTCTAATAAACTTAATTTAAAACTATTTTTCAAATATCTTTTTAAATTTTTTTTTTTAGGTTGGATACAACTGGGCAAGAAGGGGGGCGTTTGGCGTAGCACATGTCCCGTCTCTTATGTCAACTTATACACCACTTGTATATGCTGTAAACTAAGAAAATTTAATTTAAAATTTTTCATACAAAATATAATCATTGTTTTTTAGGTTCAAATATTTATAACAATGTAGCATTTCACTACGAGGGTGTTAAAACGTAACAAAGACCTCCACCCTTCAATCTAAAATAGACCACTAATATTTGGAAATGGATTGGAAGCAAATTGGAACAATTTTTTGTGTATAAAGATGACATATTTTATCAGAAAAACAGTCTTTCGTGTAAAAAACTTGTATTTTTTTAAGGGTACGAGGGTGTTTCGGTACCCCCTCCGGTCTTCTAGACACCCCTTTTATCTATAGAGTTATATAAACTTGTAGCCTACTCTTACATCTATCTTTTGATACCAAGGTATAGACATTTGGATAAGATTTGACAAAGTTATAACAATTTTAGTGGGGAAAAAAAAAAATTTGGAACCAGTTTCTTCAATAAATCCATATATCGAAAATTTGCTACTAAAAACGCAATAACTTCTTATAGAATTGTCCGATTTTCATAATTTTTTCACCATTAAAATACTGTATTTGAGGGCTTTCTAATGATATATAATTTTCTAGTATTTAATTAATTTAAAAAAATCAGTCCGCGTACCTAATATATATATATATATATATATATATATATATATATATATATATATATATATATATATATATATATATATATATATATATATATATATATATATATATATATATATATATATATATATATATATATATATATATATATATATATATATATATATATATATATATATATATATATATATATATATATATATATATATATATATATATATATATATATATATATATATATATATATATATATACAGTGCGGTGCAAATTTATAACCTCACCAAAAAATCAAGTTCTTACAAATAAATAAATAATCATTTTTAAATTATTCAATTGCTTAATATCTTACTTGATTAATATTTCATTTGTAATAGAGACTCTATTACAAATGATGGTTTAATTTCGTTAACTGACTTGAAAATTTCAGAAAAATTATGGTGCAAAATTATAACCTCATTTTAATTTTACTCTACAAAATTCCATAATGTTTTGTATTGCTACTTGAATTTTTTATTAGTACTTTGTTTTATTGCCGCCATTCTGAATAACTTCAAATATTCGATTAGGCATACTTTCCGAATGTTTTCTAAAATCTGCAAGAGATATGTTCTTCCAAACATGAACAATTGCCTTTTTTAATTCATCGACATTCGAATATTGTTTCCCTTCTGCATAAACACGTCTTGCTAAGATGCCCCATACATTTTCGATGGGATTTAAATCAGGTGCCATTCTAATAATTGAATTTTCTTGCTGGTAAACCATGAGATATTTGACTTTGCTCTATGAATTGGAGCATTATCTTGCTAGAAAATGAAATTGGTGTTACCAAATTTTTGTATAATATCATTCAAATGACCATTAAACATGTTTCTATATCCTTCTGCATTTAACTTAGTAGTAATAAAGCTAATTGAAGTCTTTCCAAAATAACCAAACGCACTCCAAATCATTACTCCTCCGCCTCCCATAGCCCTTCTTTTTGAAAATATTTTCTCTTTTCTTATGTCATTCCAGTAGTAATTGAAGCCGTCTGGACCATCAAGATTGAATTTTTTTTCATCGGACACACAATTTTTCGCCATTCTTTTTCCCAAGTCATGTGGTCTTTGGCCCATTGAAGACGACTGCGTTTGTGCGCTTCAGTTAGTGCTGGAGATGTGCGTTTTTTTGCATATATAAGAATGCCTGACTTGTTAATTGCACGATTCACCGTCCATCATGAGCAGTTCAATCCCAAAACAGCGCCTATTTGTCTCGCGGAGATTGTACGGTTACTAGCAGCATGCACAATTCGTTGCTGTTGGCGAGCTGTAAGTATAGGTTTTCTACCACTTTGATGCTTCGTGCAATAATTTGTTGGATCATTTACGAAATTATTGATTAAACGTGGTGAACGTCTCAGTTTGCAAGCAATTGCCCTGTTTGATAAACGCAATGATCTGTAGGCTTCGATCTTGCCTTTTTCTTCATCGGAGAGTGTATTTCCTCTTGGCATTCGTTAGAATGTTTTTTATAATTTTAAAATGTAATAAATTTTATTTGAAAACGGATTTTACTACTATTTTTTAACAACTTTTGATGCAATTTAGATAACGAGGTTATAATTGTGCACCACGGCTTTAAACGGTTTTATAATTTGAGTTAGTTAAAGTAGTAATAGATTCATGTAAATTATTTTGTTTATTTCAAAAAATGATCTACAAATAGAATTTCATCAACAAACTTTAAAAGATAGTTTTAAGGTGACTATACAGGTGAGGTTATAATTCTGCACCCCACTGTATATATATATATATATATATATATATATATATATATATATATATATATATATATATATATATATATATATATATATATATATATATATATATTCATCCTGCTTCATCCTGCTCTGATAAATATATATATATATATATATATATATATATATATATATATATATATATATATATATATATATATATATATATATATATTTTTCTGTTTACATTTGCCGTAAAATAAATACTATATTTTACAAGAACAAAGAAAACAAGGCTTCTGAAAGAAGATCTACTGATCTTATCATCAGAACCTTTACAATTTTATCATACCATAAAACTGAAAATATAAATCCAAAAACGGCCGTAATAATAAATATATAATAATAAATTCATAATATTAATCACGTATCTGTAATAATAATTCTCACAAATTTGTTATAATAATCCATAATAATAAATTTTATAGATCTGATATAAATTAAAGAAAATAAATTTATTAATATAAATATTATTATAAATCTCATTTATAATAATATTTATATTAATCAAGTTTATACTTCAAATCAAGTTTATACTTCAAGCTAATAGTAACTTAAACTTAGTAATTTACTTAAACTTAAACTAATACTAATATACTTAGTAATTTTTACTTAGTAATTAGTAAATACTTAGTAATTTACTTAAACTTAAACTAATAGTAACTTATATATATATATATATATATATATATATATATATATATATATATATATATATATATATATATTATATATATATATATATATATATATATATATATATATATATATATATATATATATATATATATATAGTATATCATATACCTAGTTTTTAACTATTTATTTCAATATCTGTATCAATTCAATATCTGTATCAATTATACATATATTGATATGTATCAATATTAATACGATTCTCAAGTAATTAAATGTTTAAAATAATATATATAAGTTAGCAAGAACCTGTCTATAAGTCGCTTTTCATAAGGTGCTTTTAAAATTCTCCTTGAATCTTTGGGAAGTTCCAAACCTTGATTTGGCAATATTTCAAGAAGATCATTTACTAATGTACCGGTTCCATTATAAAATAGCATAATGTTGTCGAGTAAAGACATTGAATTCAAAGAATTATCAGGATAATTGTTCCATGATCATTAACAGGTTTTCCTATTGAAAAATTTGATTCTGCATGAGATGTCTAAATCTTATTGTTAGAACTTGGTTCTTGATATAGCAATACTATACTAATAGTATATCAAGTATATATATACATAGTATAGCATATATTCAGTTTTAAACCGTTTCTTTCATTATCTGTAAAAATTTCATTACCTGTATCAATATTACCACAATTTTCAATTGATAACAAAAATAAAAATTAGATGGAACGTGTCTATTAGCTGTTGTAAAAAGACTTTTTTTGTAATTGAAAAAAAACTTAATTAAAAGTGCGTTACTTAAAAATTTTATGAAGTTTAACGCTTGCGTGGGTAGGCTCTCTTGTCAAACCGTTATTCCGACGCTGTCCTCAAGGTCCGAAAATGTAAAAAAACGACTTTTTTATTTTAAAGAGAACCTGCCTACTCCAAACCCTCAGTCGTTGTTTCCACACTCCGCTGCATGTTTTCTCTAAAAATCAGTCGGTGTATGTGCACACCGCAGCGCGAATCCCTATATACCCCATTTCGCCTATTTTCTAGAAATACAAGCTCGCGGACGCAAAGAACGCTCAACGTCGGAATAGGGGTTTGACAAGAGAGCCTACCGCTTGCGTGATTTAACTGATTTTTTTTATTTAATGGATATTTTTTGGACGAAAAAATTATTGGACGCGAATAAGACGTTTAAAAGACGTTTAGAATTTTAATGGGACGGACGGACGCGATTTGAACGTCCTAAGGACGTCTTTTTTACGTCCTGTGCCCACTGGGTAGTAAGCAGTTTTTTTGTTAATTTAAAATATTTAAATCAAGACTTGAATATGGATTGTTTTCCCACGAAAAAACTAGTTTTGAGTATAAAACTTGCGCGCGCTAAGAAAAGAGGATAGAATGGCTTCGTAAGAAAAACAAAGTTTAATAGTGTTATTAAACTTAATAAATCAATAAATAAAAAGTTTAGTAATATTAAAAATAAATTTGCTATAATATATACTATAATAACATAAAAAATTTAAAATTTTTATAATTGAAAATTTCAATAATTGAAAAATTTACTTGCTTATACAACTTTTAACTTGCTTAATTATGTAATTTATGTAATTTATGTATTTAAATTTATAAAACAATATCCTAGAATGTAATTTAGGCAGTAACAAATATATTGTTAACAATAACATGCTTAAATTATTTAGCAACGAGAATAAATTAAGCAACGACAAGAAATATCTAAGCTTGGTTCTAATAACTAATAGTTAGGATATAAACTCTAGTTTAATATAACTTAATTCAAAATAACGTCTTTTTAAAAGCTTATTGTCGCTAATTAATATTTTACAACTTCGTTTCGATTATTAAATTATCAGCTTCATCCTGCTCTGATAAATATATATTGTCAATATCGAAAATACTGCTAGAATAAGAGTTTCTACTGATAGAACTCGTAGGGGAAATGATCGAACCAAAGCCAGAATCAAAACTTTGCCGCGAATTTGTGTTATATTTTAAATTGTATGTATTTTCTTGGCTTGAAAGCCTAAAGTCACGAGTCAAATCATTGGTGTTGAAAGCTTCGTCTTCATTTTGATTTCGTATTGTTTTCTGGATAATTTCTAACTCTTTTAACAGCCTAATAAACCAAAGCCATAATGAAATTTAAACAAACAAAAAAATCATTATGAAAATCATATTATAAACCTATAAGATATACAGAAATAAAATATGCATAACTTGAAAAGATAAAAACAAAAGTTTCTAGAACATCCTAAAATTTTCTAATTATAATAAACTTTAAAAAAATTTCAAATAAATTTTGTTTTACACACATTTAAAGTATTATTTATTTTGACTTTTTTGTATATATTGCTTTTTATACGTCATTATAAATAAAAAGACTGTCCTTTTGACGATGTCATTACACGGAATTTCTTTTTAATTGTTAAAAACTATACTTTTATATTATAATAAAATAACAAAGTTATTTATTTTACGAAACAACTTACTAAGATCTTATATTTAATTATAAGAACATAACCTTGAGACATCTTGACCTGTAGATGTTTAAAAACTATACCCTATGAGAAAGTTAGGAAATTTTGAGTAATATTTTTCACAGAGAGTTTATTATTATAATTTTTACATACTGAATTCCTGCAAACAGAAAGCTACTTTTAAAGTGATTTTATTTGGGAGCCATAATTGGGTTTATTGCGCTTCAATATATATATATATATATATATATATATATATATATATATATATATATATATATATATATATATATATATATATATATATATATATATATATATATATATATATATATATATATATATATATATATATATATATATATATATATATATATATATATATATATATATATATATATATATATATATAATTTTTTTTTTTTTTTTTATTTTATTAGAATTTTCATAATAATATATTTTTATATCTTTATAAAAGTATAAAAATATACTATTATGCTATATTTTTCTATACAATGTTCTTATATCCGAAGATATTGTTGGCTTAGCATAGGAACAGCCACAAATAGTCATTAAGACTAATCCAAAATTGCGTCCGTTATTGACCAACTTTTTGCGTTACTACTCAAGCCCTGAGTTAGCGGTGGCAGGAGTTAAACTCGTATCGTACAATAGTCCGGTTTTAAACTTTTTGTTCGACGCTCTAACCAACTGAACTATCCAGCTACATATATATATAAATATATATATATTTATATATATATATATATATATATATATATATTTATATATATAAATATTTAAATATATATATATATATATATATATATATATATATATATATATATATATATATATATATATATATATATATATATATATATATATATATATATATATATATATTACTTATTTTGTTTTGTTATTTAGGTACCCCAAGAAGACCTAACGGTCTTGTCACAGAGCACCGCAGAAGTACATTTAACCAGGAAGTTCACAAACATAAATTCTCATGAGCAACAATTTTTTTAAGAAAGGACTTTTTTTCATAAACGTCTTTGTATTTATGCATTTTTCGCTGCTACAGTGTATTTTCAAAAGATTTTCAAAAGATTTTCAAAAGGTTTTTGAAAATACTTAAGATTTAATAAATTGATGCAAAAAAACGTCGTTTCGCCTTTCAATTGAAAAATGTATTTCACAAATTCATATAAATACCTATATTTCTATTCATGCAGCATTTAATGCCTATATAATAAAATTACGTGCACTTTTAGTAAAGCTATAATTTTTATTATTATATTACAACTATGGGACAAACTTTAGCGTTTAACTAATAATAATAAACTCAATAGTAGCCATTGTTTTTCCGGGATTTTCTCATTCATAAAAATCAAGATATTAAAATCAAAATAATTAATTTAAAATAATAACAAAAAGAAATTCCGTAGACAAAGGAGTCCATCATTTTTGACCTAGGAGTCCCAAAATTTTAATGGAACTCCGCATCCCTGATTATCACTTTTATCAAATGACAACATCAATACAAAACTGACAACAACCTTTTATAATTATGCAAAAGCAACAAATACAAAAAAGTACAAAACCAACAACAGGTTGGCATACAAATACAAAACCATCAACAACTTGTTATAAAAATTACCAAGAAGTAGTATGAAAAGATCAATATAAAAAAAGTCATTTTCAGTTAAGGATCTATAAATCTTTTTTTAAAAGAATTTTTCCTTTACAATAATTAAGAATCCAGCAGGGTAATAAGAGATTCAAAATCTTTATTGATTTTTTAAGATTAGGAGTTTTGACTTCAGACGAGAAGCTAAAAGTTAATTAATTAAAAATTTAAAAACTTTGATTTTTATAGAAAGAAGGCTGAAGACGAGTTGGACAATAGTTAGAGGGGTCAGAACAATCTTTAGATTTTTTTATAAACTGAAACAACAGATGCTATTTTTCAGAAGCTAATCAAACAAGTATCAGTTAAGCATTATTAAATAGTTTAAAATGCGATAAAGAAATTTCTAAAGAGCATTTTTGCTAAGTATACCAGTCACGTGATTTATCAAAATATACCAGTCACGTGATTTATCGAAACCACTACTCAAACAAATCTACTGTAACATTGTTTAAAGTATCTTAAACCAACTGAAAAAATTAAAACTTTCTGTTTGTTGTTTTGATTGTTTGAATGTTTGTTTGAATCTTGAAAATCGAAAGGAGTCGCAATTTTTTTGCAGAGAGACAAACAATATCAGACCATGGCATCCCAAAGAAAATTATGAAAATAATTTCAGTTAGACTTAAAGTTGTAGTAAAAAATGTTTCGATAAGTAATTATATAAACCGTTGCAAAGAATAGTAAAAAATAATTAATATACTTCAGTATATTAGGCCAGGTGAATAAAAATGAGCAATTGCTTTTACTCAGTAATTAGTCAGCTTTACTTGAATAAAAACTTAAGCAGTTTTGCTAAAAATTTTATTTGCATAAAGTTAAGCAATTTACTCAGTCATTGCTCAGCTTTACGTGAAAAAAAACATAAGCAAAATTGCTACAGTTTTTATTCATATAAAGCTGACCAATTACTGCGTAAAAGCAATCGCTTATTTTTATTCACCCGGCCTAATTATTGATGTGTTTGATGACGTCATAGTGTTTTTGTGATATTATAAATCGAATAGATTAAAAAAAATAATAATTGAATTGAACATTTCTTGCATTAAAAATGTAGAAAATAAAATCAGGGTGGGGTGGACATTCTTGTTGATAATTAGCTTTTGTTCTAATATAGTTTTTTTTTTTTTTTAAGTATATATTATGTTTGCATCTTTACCATACAAGCGATCATAGGTGGTATCACCGAATCCTAATCCAGCCCAACGATTGCCAAGCAGTCTTAGTTGGGTGTTCCTACGCCAGAGGTTATGCAGCACTATTCTTTTTTTCTTTTTTTTTTGAATATACATAGACTGCAAGCACACCCATATATATATATATATATATACCAGTATACATACATAAATGCATACATACACAGATACACATACACATTTATACATAGTTTATTATTTTTACTTTATTTTATTTTATTTATTTATTTTTTATAATTTTTTTTTCTTTTTTTTTTAAGTTTTTACAAAACCGTGTTATAAAAACCGTAATAAAATTTTTTTTTTGTTGTTTTTTCAAATACTTAATAAAAAATAAAATAAACCTGAAAATTTATACATACTAGCAATATAAAATATAAAGCAATATACAATACGAACTCAAATAATAAATATTTATAGATCTATTCATTGCTATCAGTTTCAGTACAATCTCAATGTAACTATATACTTAGGTAAACTTAGTTTTAATAATAGGTAGACAAACCCATAACACTAGTAATATAGAAAAATGTTCTCCATCGAAAAAAGAGGAAGGTAGATCATAATTTTGCAAAATAACTTTATTCCAAAGATTAGGTGCACGATAATCAATACAAAGCTGATTAAACTTGGTTCGACATAAAACTTGATTTAGCAAATTATTATTTCTCAGTGCATACTTATTGTCTGGTTTCAAAGTAAAAATACTTTTAAAAACGTCAGGAGATAAGTTATTTTTCCACACATATACAAAACATAGAGTATTATATAAATTCACTTCATAAATATTAAGTATTCTCATTTCGTTAAATAAAGGTTTTGAATAAGTAAACTGATCGGAAAAATTTATAATACGAATTGCGTGTTTCTGACGAGAAAAAAGACGTTTCAACTTATTCTTTCCAGCACTTCCCCAAGCAATATTTGCATAATTTATATAATTATGGATAAACGAATGATAGAGTTGGGTCAAGCTTTTTTTATTTAATCTCTAGATTTATATAAAATTCCAATATTTTTAGAAATCTTGGTACATACGTGATCAATATGCTGTTTCCATGTAATGTGCTCATCAAGATAGACTCCTAAAAACTTTATGACAGAGTCCCTCTTAATTTCAATTTGGTTATGTGATGCTGGGGTGAATCTGATGTTGAAAAAGTGATAAAGGTTTTAGCGAGATTATGATTACAATCAAGCCCCATTTATGGATTTTTTAATATCTGGTATATTAAATAAATAATAATAATAAATAAGTTTGGTAGTTTAAAAACATTTTTCAATGCAAAACTTATTTTAAAGTTTGACGCGTTTTTTAGTGGTTTTAAATCAAACTTTGTTTCAAAAAGTTTACAAGAAAAAAAAAGATATTAAAATTGAAGTTTGATAAAAATATACCAAGATATTAATTAGAGCAAACGCAACAGAAAAGAAAGTTTAATGGTTTGTTTCTCCGGTGCAACACAGAATAAGGCGTGCCTTGGCATGCCTTCCCTAGGATGCCACGCTAAGACACAACATCTTTTAAAAACAAATATATATATATATATATATATATATATATATTTATATGTATATATATATATATATATATATATATATATATATATATATATATATATATATATATATATATATATATATATATATATATATATATATATATATACACACACATACGAACACACACAAACACACACAATGTTCAACATACAATACAATTAAAAAATAAATTGTATTATGCTTCAATAAACTCACGGATTGTTGTCATCAAAAGGGATAAATTTTGTAGGAGGTTTGAGTGTATCTTCAATATATTCGTTATGACTTGGGCTCTGTATGAGAATAAAAAAGATTACTAACTTAAATCAGTACCAATTAAACAACTTCTTACATAATTATCGCTTCGAAAAAGTATACTCACAATTTTAATATGATCGCGGAGGACCTTAAGTAAACATTTCTTTTCTTCTTCTGTCTTGAGGGATAAATATAACTCCCTTCCACCATTTTTTCCGTTGTGTAATTGAGATAGCTTAATGCAAATAACGTTTTGGTAATCGTTTATTCCTTCTGGTACCTCTCTGAAGTCTGAATTATCAAGTACAAATTTTCCTAAAAAAACAAAATATTACAGTAAACTTCTCATGCCATACACCATACGCCACACACCATTCTGACGCCACTCTGGTTATTATTTTAGAGACACAATTACTTTTAATAAATATCAAAAATCAGTTATTATATTAAGTTATCGGTAAAGTCAATAAAATAAATTTGTTTAATCATCTGATATTAGATTGAACAAATATACATGTGAAAAACAGAGTAAAATTTAAAATGTTTTTTTTTTTATGTTGTTTACAAAACTAATATTAATTTTTACGGATGCAGCAATTTTTGATATTAGAGATCATATATATGTTTATACATAAATAAAGATGCTTTGCAGGGGTGGGTGCAGCATTTTTTGATGTTTGAGATAAATTCCAGACATGGAGCAAACTCAAAACGTTTGTCGCTTGCTACACTCACGTTTGTCGCTTGCTACACTCACGTTTGTCGCTTGCTACACTCACGTTTGTCGCTTGCTACACTCACGTTTGTTGCTTGCTACACTCACGTTTGTCGCTTGCTACACTCACGTTTGTCGCTTGCTACACTCACGTTTGTCGCTTGCTACACTCACGTTTGTCGCTTGCTACACTCACGTTTGTCGCTTGCTACACTCACGTTTGTCGCTTGCTACACTCACGTTTATCGCTTGCTACACTCACGTTTGTCGCAAACGTGAGAGTAGCAAGCTGATAAAATATTTTTTTTTACTTTTCTCAACTAAATTTTTTTCATCAATAAATTTTAAATTTCATACTATAGTAATTAGTTTTCAAAAATAATTACTATTGTTGATCTTAGTTGACA